TAAAATGTAACACCCCGTGTATACTCGGAATATTAACATTACATCGTATTAAGCGGTGCTTAATTAAAAATGCGGAATATTCTTTTTCTTTTCAAACATGCATCAAGCTTCCATTTTTAAGCCTTAAAACTCAAGTTAAAGGTTGGTGATCATACCACAGCTCAAAAACAGAGGATGGAGATGCTCTTGGAGCTCAACACAGCCCCTCAAGTCTGACTCAAGGATGATGCACGAAAATGAACAAGAAGGTAGGTCTTTCACTCAACAAAAAGGCATCTTGGAGCATCAAAATGCCAACAAAAGGTCACACCCCTCAAGAACAGCAAACACAACTCTTCAAACTCCCTCACACAGGTTCTCTAACTCAGAAACAGTACCCCAATGCAGTCCCAAGGCCAACCCTCACCCTCACCAAGTGTTTAAATGGAAGAACAAGCATCAAAGGTGAATGCTTGCTCAAGAAATGGAAGGGAAGGCAATGGAACAGTGTATAAGGTGCAAGTCAGCCACCAAGTCACGTAGACAAAACTGAGTGCCTAGGGTTTAGGGCCAAGTGTGCCTATTTATAGTGATTTAACACATAAACGCACAGTATTAAATTTAATTACTACGCTTAGCATTTTAATTCCAAACTTTGGAATCTGAAACTACACATTTTTCCAAGAATTAACATATTTTTATTATATTTTTCTGAGCACCTTTCCGGTACGCGCTTTTCAAAGCCAGTACCGATTTCTAGCACCAGTTCTCATTATTTGGACTCAAAACTCGTTTTACAAGTCCTACATATTATTCTAGTAATTATCATGCACTTACTTTAATTTTCTGGGATACTTTTTCGGTACGCATTTATACCGACTAGCAGAACATGTATCTGCACTTTTCTTCCGAAAAGCGACTTTCAGCATTCTTAATCACTTACCATAATTATTAAAGCCTCTTAATAATTATTAGGGTCAATTATGGAATCATTTCCTAATTTTGCATAATTAATTAATTAAATACCTTAATTAACGGTGCAGGTTCTTACAGTGTCGGCCAATTTATTTGCTGTTTACTTCCTTCCTCCTTTGTCACAACCTAGAGTCAAATCTCAACCTAAAGATAAAGTAGTTATTCTTTGTGATGGAAACCACAAAGGTTAGATCCCATTTTTTTGCATTTCAGGTGCGGAGGGGCCCACCCTTCATCAAATTCCTAGATCCGCCATTGGGTAGTGGTGGAGGTGTTGATGGTGGCAAAGTGATGGCAGCGGTGATAGTAAATAAGGTGGTGGCGGTGGCGAAGGCCATGATGACAACAGCGAGGTGAGATTGATTTTGGTTAGAGTTAGGGTGATGGTGGCAGCAGTGGCGACAATGATGAAGGATAAGGAGGTGGCAGTGGTGGTAATGGTGACGGTATGAGAGATGAGATTGGTTGAAACTATGGTTGCAGCAATTTTGGATTTTGAAAAAAAATATATATTTGAGTTTTGACTTTTGCTTTTTTCGTAAGGTAAAACAATTAGCTTTGAAAAAAAGTAAGATTTTGACTTTTTGTGAATTCTATTTTTTGGAGGAGAAAAAAGGTCATTCAAACGGTCACTTAGACTCAAACAAACACATGTTATAATGCCTTACATGAAAGTAAAAGCTAGTTTCACTTATAAATATTATTTATGTATACTCATTAATACAAATTAAGAAGTTTGAAATAAAATTTAAAAACCATTAGCCTTAGTCTAATGATGAAGGACCTGAGTGATTTGCATAATGAAATAGGTTCTAGCCACCATTATATTAAAAAAAAATATATACGTTTATATTTTCATTCACCAATATAAGATAGGAGAAATTTAGATTTATTTAAATTTTAAAAGCAAGAATATTTAATTTTCTATGATTCAAGGAGTAAAATATTTTTATCACTTAAATAAAATTCAATCATTTATATATAACATTTGAATTGACTTCAAACTTTTTAAAATTAAAATATATTAAAAAAGCTAATGAATTGACAGTACAATCATACTAAAGAAGCATAAATTTGGAGAAAAAAATACATGATTAAGTGACAGGTGATATCAATTCACTTCTATATAATAAAATGAGGTAGGATTCTTTGACACCGGTGTCAAATTTGAAATTTGACACCTTATCTGATAGTCGTTAGATCAAAAAAGATCAATGGTGTCACATGTTTACAAATCTGAGTCATTGATCTTTTTTGATCTAACGGCTCTCAGATGAGGTGTCAAATTTAAACTTTGGCACTGATGTCAAAGGATCCTACTTCTAATAAAATTGCAGAATTATAACCGTTAATTAAAAAGTTAACAGTTTAAATTATAATGAAATACATGCATAAATATAACAAATTACAAAATTATTAAAGTTTAGTTCCATAAATTTTTAAATAATAATTATAATTTTGATCTTTACTCTCTAAAATATTCTCCCATTTCAGCCATACAAGTTGACTCAAAAGACATCATGAACCTCCTATTTAATAACCCAGCGAAAAAGATATTATGGATATACATTTTACCGTACTTCACCCACTGCATTATATCAGTGAAGAGTCTGAAGACCATAATAGTTCAGTTACTTAAATCTTGTTATGCTAGTTATCACGTGTGTAGTTTTAATTATTCATGTTTGTATAGTAGCTATTTGTCTATTTCCTTCAGTTAGATTCTCCTATAAGTGAACGTGGGTTAGTTTCTTATTTTGGCCCCTTCTCTTTAGCATATATAGCTAACACACGTATCAGTCACTGTAATCTTACAATTCAGAACATTAAATATATGCAAAAATATACTCTTATGTTATTGTAGTGTATTTTTTTCTCCTAGACATAGATTAATTTTTATGTTATTTTTTTTATATATAATGGTTGTGTCTATAGCATGAGAAAGTTTCCTTTCTATTGCATGAGATAAATAAAGCCCTAAATATAAACCTCTTTTTTTATTCATAAGAAAAGACATCATTAGGGATGTAAATAGACTATGCTAGGCTAGACATTGCCTTAAATAGGTTAGGTCTGTGTAAAATACTTTAGACCTAGCCTGACCTGTTAGTATTATGTAGGCTCAAACTATAAGTCTGGCATGACTTATATCAAAAAAATAAAAGTCTAGGCCTAGGCCTGCTTAATCCTATTAAACATTTAATAATTAAAAAAAAAATAAAATAATATTACTTTATTATTCAAAATTATTAAAATATAATATTATTTATTTTAAAGAAAATAAATAAAATTATATAGGTCGACCTGTAGACTTATAGGCTCGACATAAAAAAGAAAGCCTATAGCCTGTATTATAAATAGGCTTTTTTAAAAGTCTGAATCTGTTATATTTAGGGGTGTAAATAGGCTAGGCTAGGCTAGACTTTGACTTAAGTAGGCCAAGCCTGTGCAAAAAAATATTGGGTATGGCCTGACCTATTGGCCTGTGTAGGGCCCGAATTATAAGGCTGGCATGACCTATATTTAAAAACTAAAAGCCTTGTCTTAAGTCTGTTAGCCTGTTTAAACATATCAAACATTCAACAATTAAAAGTATAACTAAAATAATATTACTTTATTATTCAAATTTATTAAATAATAATTTTATTTATTTTATTTAAAATAAATAATATGATATAGGTCCGATATATACAAAAAAAGCCTATGGCCTATTTTCTAAATAATTTTTTTTTAAAAGTCTAGGCCTATTCTATTTTACTATTTGTAACTTATAGGTTAGGTCGTAGGCACTTGTAGGCCGGTCTAGCCCATTTACACTCTTAATTATATTTCACTATATGCAATAGAGGTCTGATATAGGTAAGCCGGCCTAGTTTATTTACATCCTTTGAACACGATGTTCAAGCCCCTTTGCTCAGTTCTACTTCCATTTCTTCGTTTTTGTCATTCTTCACATAATTTAGATTTAATTTATTGTTACAAAAACTTTAGGCTAGGAGAGTTTGTAAGTAATCAATTTTATGAGTTAACCACCAATGAATATATAAATTATTTATTTTTATCAATAAATGAATGAATGCCATTTAGGCTAGGAGAGTTTGTAAGTAATCAATTTTATGAGTTAACCACCAATGAATATATAAATTATTTATTTTTATCAATAAATGAATGAATGCCACGTTATAAAGTTTTTATAGCAAAAAGTATAATAATTCTTTAAACTAAAGGTAACGTTTGTTTACCGGAAAAAAAAGGTAACGTTTGTTTACCGAAAAAAAAGGTAACATTTATTTATTTAATAATAATAAGGTAAAATTACTTATTTTATTAACGAAATTAAATCCTTCCAAGTATATAACAAGATTTAAAATTAGACCATTAACTACGGAGCAAATCATAGTTTCCAAAATAATTTATTTAATCAGACAACAATACCCCTTTCTATTTATTTTTATTTTTTTGGTAAACTAGCCCTTTCTATTTTAACTACCAAAAAACAAAAACAAAAAAAAAAACAAAAAATCACTCGTAGCTCGTTGGATGCCTGATTCGATTCTCGTATCGGCTAAGTTTGAATTGGAATTTCGATGTGTTTGAACAATCCTTACTTCATAGACTATTACCGAAAATCTCATTTTATGTTAAAAAATATTAATAAAAATGTCATTAATCATGTAGGAGCGAATGCAAGATGATTAAAGAGTTAAAGATGAATTTACAAAAAAAAAAAAAAAGAGTTAAAGATGTCCACCCTCTAATTTCAATTTTGGTGCATATCTCACGTGACAAAAATAAGTCTTTTTTTACCGCAAAAATCACAGGTTGACAGAATACAATGAGAAATTACGTGCACATATTAAATTATTCGCTAAGTTCAGGGCGTTATCTAATTATTTTTTGTGAATATAAATGTATATGAAAAATGATAATGCTAATTCGGGAAAGGACACGAATGAAAAGATAAATAAGAATACATTTTAATCTTCGCGAATAGGTTTCCAAATCATTCGTGAAGAATAGCTTATCATAAATCCACTTGAATCACACCAATAATTATTTTATTAATTACAGCTTTCTCATATTAAAAATGAGAGGATAAAAAATAAAGAGATTCTGTACAGAGATAAGTTTATGTCAATTCAGATTTCGAACAACACAGACTCTCTCTTTGCATCTATCTGTACATGTGTTAGAAAAATTCACAAATTTGAATCAAATAATATAATATTAAAAAAATAATAATATGGCCTTTCTTCAAAATAGCAGACTCGATTTTGATACACAACGACTAGGCAAATATCTGCTGAATGACTGTCTCCGCATTTCCGTTGTATTGTGCAAGCAGATGGATAGCATCGGCCCTAGGCAAAGCCAAAAACTCCTGCACTCATCCAAAAATCCGAACATGAAAAAAATTCCATTCTGCAAAGGTGGTTTGATTGAACAGAGCCTACTAATGGTAAAAATAGAGGCAGCAGATCTATACCAATCGAAGAATAAATAGGGGAGGGTAGAATGAATTTCAAACCTAAAACAATCCCTAGAGTACGACTCAGGACAATGAGCGAAATTAAAACATCAAATAAGATTTATAACATTGGTGTTACTTTGTTTTAGCCGAAAGAGAGAAATTACTTATCACAGAATTGATATAAAGGTTCACAACGAAAGGAAAATATCATGAAATGTGCTCAAAAGTAGCCACTCAAGTTAACATACAAGAAAATCGAAAGAGATTGAAGTATAAACAGCAATACATAACACATTGGGGTTTTGGCATGCAAGTTAGAAATCATGAAAATGCATCTATATGCATTATTTTATTTACCCGATTAAAGAAGAAATACTATTTGATACATAGTCATGAATATAGGATCTGACAGAAAACTTCTCTATCATGAAATGAAATGGGACAGAAAACTAAAGAAAGAAATAAATAAAAAATCTGCCTAGAAACCCATTGAAACTATGGTAGATCCATTAATTTTGCACTACCTACATGAACTTCTCGATCACGAAGGACGTTACCAATGTATTGCTGACAATTGCAAATTTACATACAAAATTGTGCCAGTGAAAACTATAAAATTTTCGCCAAACCCTCTTAAAACATAAGGCATGATGATAGGGTACTTGAATTTTTAATTTTTGCTAAGAAAAAAAAAAAGAATTAATGGCTAGAAACCATAACTTACCATTACTTTGAGTATTGCACCTTCGTCACTGATGACATCCCTTGACGACACTTGAGTTGGACTGCTACCATCTTCTGACATTCTGGTTCCTGATGATACTGTAGCCTGAGAAGATCCATTAGTGCAGCTATCAGCACATGACTTGGCCGTAGATACTGGAGCAAGGAAGGGAATATTAACTTCCTTCAAGGAACCAATCCTCAAAAGACCTTCAAAACTATCTTTGCACATTTGAAGTTTAAACCACTCATTATGAGTATAAAGAGTGGCTCGCATTATTTTCATGAGCTGTGGTTCTTCAACACCAAGCCTCCTACCAACTGCAACCTATACAATATAAAACAAGCATTTCACATTTAAAAATGACATAACAGAGTAAAAACATTGATATTGTATTAAAATGATTACAAAATAATAGAACAAACACCATAAGTAGTGATGGAAAAGCTTTCAGGTACAGAACATAACATGAAGCCACACCGTCACAGGAAATATCGTACTTTAAAGAAGACGTATGATAAGAAGCCTTTGCACTAGATAATTTATAATTACTTGGAACTTGGAAGCGAATATTACTTTAGATTACCTTCCAAGTTATCAATACTAGGTTGGTCTATAAGAAGTTATAAGCTTTCAACCCGCTTCAATCAGTAACACTAAAAACTAAACTAAATAGTAATCCCTTCCCATCTTTTTCTATTAGTAGTCCTGCTCATATTGTTAAGAGATATAATAAAACCATCTATGTGTATCTTCCTAATGGCTTAAGCTTTTGGGAGAGTTAGTTGTGTGTCATGGTATCAGAGCCTACGATCAAATGGTCTAGAGTTTGATCTTTGCCACCCCATTATCAAATAAAAAAGTTAAATTTAAGCACAAGGTAATCAATTCTAAAAAGAAAAAGAACTCTGCATTATTTACACTTTGAACCCAGAAAAAAATTTAAGGTCTCGCCTCTGGGGGTGTATTAGGAGATATAACATGTTAGAATGAAGGAACAAACTTGCCTACAATTTTATCATGACATTTCTAGGCAAGCATCATGAATGAGAAAATCCCATTGATTAACATGAAAATATTAAAAATTTGTATACCAGAAGACATATTAGATCAGCAAAACACACAACACCTGGAGAGAAGCAGCTAGAGCATGTAGAGGTAATGCATTTCCAAGAGCATCTTCATTAGGTCGAAGTAAAGCCAAGAGAGTTTCCTTCAACGGCTTTAATAAAGCAGGATCACTAGCAGCTAAAGGACCCAAATGGGAGCAAGCAACCCTCAAAGCAGCATTATAATCACCAGAGCTGACCAACTTGAGGAATTCAACCTATAGCCAGGAATCCCATTAACGATAACATTATTGATGCAATAATGAGAAGCCCAACAACACCCCCGGCCCTCTAATATAAAGTTAATAAAAAAAAGGATATCAATATCAACATAGAAGCCACCTACCTGCTTGAGTTGGAAGAGTAAAACAGAGTTCTGGACAAAGAAATTGGGATCGATAACATTGACTTCTTCAACTGTTTCAGCAGCCATTCCTTTGCTAGCTAATTCCTTCATTCCCAAGAGAATCTCATATTTATCTTCCACATCACTGACATCAAGAACCGAAAGCTTTTCAGGGCCCTGCAAAACAATATTCTGTCAATAATTGATCTCCCAGACAGAATAACATCAAAATTGACAAACAGATACCTGTTTTTCCTTTGATAAAGTTGAAACAACGGTACTTATGCTATGCTCTTGCTTGCAGTGCTCATCCAAAGAAGCATTGGGCATGTAACTATTGTCATCATATCGTCCTCTCCACCGCTTGCGCTTGCTTCTTTCTCCATTTCCAGGAAATCTGTTTCGTTGCAAAACATTCGGATTTTCAAGTTGCTGCGATCCACTGGTGCTACAATCTTCATTAATGCTAGTGAGTTCAGAAGCATATCGTACTTCAAAATCAATTCTTCGCATGCTTGTAACATCAGCATTATTATCAGGGGAACCGTCCATGTGAGCATTGGTAACAGAAGTTTCACCATCAGAATGCTTGCTGGCATTACAATCAAGCTCAAGAGAACAATCCCTTGATGAGCAATAACCAGGCTCTTGGTGGTTGAATTTTGAAGGTTCTGAAATAGGTTGCTTCCCAAATGCTAAGTTCATCATAAATTGACAAGAAATAATCAAAATAAGATATGAGAAATATGTGTTAGAGAATAATATAAATCATTATAAAGGCCATTACCCAACACCTTAAGGTTTTGGGAGTGGTTCTTTACATGGTATCAGAGCTTCAGTGACCATAGATCACGAGTTCGATCCTCACCGCCCCCCACTTTCTAGTGGAATTAAAATAAACACGAGGTAAAACCAAAAAATTGGACCTGTGTAATATCCACACTTCAAGCCCAAAGGGCTCTTGCGTGAGGGAGTGTGTTAGAGAATAATATAAATCATTATAAAGGCCATTACCCAACACCCCTTAAGATTTTGGGTTGAAATGGTTCTTTACAATATGTGTAACATAGAATAGGACTCAATTTTCTACAAAACCCATTATTAAATTATAATGCATACATGAAATAACCAACTAAAAATTTGATTTAAAATTTTGAGAGACTTGAAATCTAATGCAAGATTAATGATGAGCAGATGCCATGAAAAATATGAATTACTGAAAGCTAGTAGCATGGAAGTTTTTCTAGACATATCACACACACACACACACAGCTAGGTTCAACAGAGGAGAAGCTATACCAGAATCAACAAGGCCTCGATAAACACAATACTCCCGAACAAGATGGTCAAGAAGTGGAACATCCAATCTCATCCGACATAATTCATTCTGCAACAAAAGGAATAAAAAATTAAGACATGAAGGCACAATTGACATGAAAATTAAATAAATCACCAATGCAGCGAAAAATTAATGTGCAAAGAGATTAAAATCATTCAGTCATATTTTGCATCAACTACAACTATTTTTCTTTCTCCTCCTTTTATGTTCCAATTCCCGTAGCCCTTACTCTGACAAGACGATGAGACTGTTCCTTAGGTCTGAAATTGGAAAAAGAAATTCGGGAATGTTGTTCCTTAGGTCTAAATATTGATCCTTAGGTCCAGTTAATATGTGAAACAACTAATTTTTTAAACAGAATTTTCCAAAATCAATGACAATACTACGTCATTAGTATGTTTGATTTCTTATTTTTTATTCTTTGAGTAATAGTGCAAGGGAATTTATTAATCTAAAGAAAGGAAGACTTGAATGCAAAGCAGAATTAAAAGATGATAAGTAAAAAATGAAATTTTAAATTATCTTTTTATCAAAAGAAAAACAAAAAGTCATCTACAATGGGCTAAATATATTTAATCCTAGAAGTAAAATGAACAATTCACAGGCTAATATTTAAAAAGAAGCCAAAAAGAAGATGAACTAGAAAGATTATGTGTAACCTGAAATGCCAGAAACAGATCACCCTTAGCAAATCTCAAGCTATCAATTGCCCCTTGTCTGGTAAGCTCTACAGCATGTGCAAGAGCCTGTATGTCAACCTGGGTTCCAGAATCAAACATGTAGCTTCAGCCTAAAAATGATGCATGCATAAATATATATAAAAAATGGAAGCCAGATGTATCATTGTACAAACATGTAGAAGCAGAGATATCAATGCGTTTTCACAAAATGATAATGTTCACTATCAATAACACTTGACATCTGATAGACATCCTCCCATAACATAGGTGTACAACAGTGGAAAAGGGAATAGCAGCAGAGGATTAGGAACCCATGAAAGGTGTGTGATTTGTGGGTTTGCATTATAACAACCTGCTTATGCGGCTGCTTGTGCGTTATAACCACCTACTTAGGTGGCAGGTGTACAAGAAGGCAAAATCGGGTATTGGAAGTGGAATATAAAGTGCAGAGAAAAGAGGAGGGGTAAGTAAGAACTGAGAAGAGAGATTCAGAGGCAGAGACCAAGGCCTCTCGAATGCTTTGGGACTATCAGAATTTTTTCCTGATTTCTGTTCAATATTACCTATGTGAATCCTTACACTGGCCATATCCCACCGATATCAGATTATCAGTAGTTTGAGTGATAATATACCGCATATATACCATTTTCTTTCCTTAAATTAATTTCCCCGTGAAAGTTTAGAATTATATAATATAGATATCTCACCTCATCAAATGGTGGTACTTCATATAAAATGTCTTGAGGTGTTGCAGGCAGGTCACGCTCCTCAAGAAGCAATCTTTCAGTCAGATCAGAGATGGGTGATGTAATACCTTGACGTAAACAATATGCCCTGTGTATACTGCAAAATAGAAAAAAATTCCAAAAGAAAAATAAATAGAAGACAGCTAAACAATAACACAGATGCAAGAGAACAACCAGAATTGGACTTGTAAGGATTGTTAGAATATCTCAACAGATATGTAAATATGAAATTATGTATTTACTATAGAATCAATTAGGATCATAAATATAAAAATCACTCCATTAAACCCCGACTAACGAGGGTAGAGATGAAGGCAATCCTTCTACGCAGTCTTTTCCTTGAATATTTGCAAAGAGGTTGTTTCCCAGATTCAAACCCGAGACTTTTCGGTCACAAAGGAACAGCTATACCACTGCTCTAGGCTTGCCTGAGGAAGGAAATTATTGTAAATAATTTCCACACTAATATATATAGAGCTATGTGTGATATATTTTATAATACACAAAATTCACTCAATATACAAAAATTTCAAGCTGGTATTAAAACGGGTTTTGACCCGTCTCTGCTGACGAAAACCCAGTCCCATTGTACCCACTGCCGAACAGCCCTTCTCTTGTCACAACTCCCTCCATCCTCAACTTTTTTGCCCACCAGAAAAATTATCCAACAAATTTGCAGCCACCAGAAAAAAATTTCGGGAAATTTCCAGCTGGTGACCACTGGATCAAGAGTGGCTCCTAAAGTCTGATGGACCCATGGTCATCCGTCCAACCACATGCCCAAAAAAGCCAACTCTTTGTTCTGTGTGTTATCTTTTCCGGTGACGTCTCCACCACACGTGGGCACGATACTCGTCCCAACCTCCCCTACAGCAATCTATCTGTTGGTCGTACCATTTTAGAGTTTGTAGGATGTTTTTTCTGCATTCCAGCTTTTTTCAGCACTTTTTTCAGCATTCCAACTCTTTCCAGCATATTCATACCACAATCCAGCATACTTCCATTCAGTTCCCAATGGTAGACAACAATTCTACTGCATCAGATATTTTTTCCTCTGGTCTAGCTTCAGCTAACTTTCCTCAAACAGGGTTAAGCATCATCTTCTACTCCAACTGTGGCCATTCTGAGTGCAAACTATAACTTCCTTCATTTTAAGGCTTCCTCACAGCACCCAGTTGCACAAATCAATAATCCAATTACCTACATCTCTTAATCATCTCTTGGACCCTGGATAATTGATTCCGGTGCTTTTTCTTCTCACATCTCTTACCTACCCTAATAAGGTGACATTGATTTTGTTAATTTGAATTGAAGGGTCTAAAATCGGTTTATTTCTCGCATCATCATCAAAGTTAGAATCTCCAACTCCGTATCAAGATCACAGTCAATATCATCATTATAATCAATAAGGAAACCCTTAGGTTTGTTATCTAGGAACTTGTTCAGAAATGCTATGATGAAAGGAACATAGAGTTCATCACTAGGTATTTGACCAAAAACTATCGTCTAGTTCCTATAGAATTTATCACTAAAATACCCCAAGGGTAGGACTAAGTGGAGCAAGAAGGGTTTCTTATGAGATGGGAGATGAAAACAATTAACCCCTCTGATAAGGACAAACTCCCAGTGCACAAGGCTCCCTGACTTTGCGAGGATAAGAGTGAGGGTCGAATGTATGCAGCCTTACCCTTACAACTTTACAAAGAGGATGTTTCCCAAACTCGAATTAGTAACCTTCCAGTCATAAAGGAACAACCTTACCGCTGCTTCAAGACTTGTCCTCAAATGATTGTTTGATAATGAGCAAAAAAAAATTCATCTTTATGCTAAACAGGATTTATTGAACTTATAATTCATTAGATACTTTTTATGAAACCCAATTAAGTATCATAAGTAAATTGCTTCCATTTCTTTTCTTCTATCATTTGATAACCAAAGTTATTCTTTGATAAATGATGACCATGAATCAGACTCAATAGAATCTGATCAATTTTTTTTTTCTGTCGTTAAGGTAGAGAACTAAACCAAGAATTCTCTTTCTTTATTATCAATCGAATTGAGGCCCAAGATTCTATTTTATCATCAATCCAATCATTCACGTTTTTTATTTTTCCTAGTTACCCTTGGTAATACTACCAAGACAATTGAAGGCATTCGATAAGCACAATTGTGTCCCCTCTTTACCATTAACATATATTCATGTCCATGATTGTCCCTTTAATTTAATATCAGTCAACCAACTCATTCATTCTCTTCACTATTACATTATCTTTACTATAAACTTTGCTCTTGTGCAAGGTCCGACTATAAGGAGAACAATTGGAGTCAGTAGTGAGTCCCAAGGCCTTTATCATCTTGTTAGGCCTAATTCCCCAGTAGCAAGTATGTTGACAAATTATCCTGACCTTATTCACATCCATCATGGACATCCAAGTCTCTCCAAACTCCAAAAGATAGCCCCTTATTTCTCTTGTTTATAGTCTTTAGATAATGAGTCTTGTGAACATGGAAAAAAGGCATGATTTTCCTTTCCTAGTTGTGTTAATAAAAGAGTTGATGCTCCTTTCTCTCTTGTTCCTTCAAATAAATAGGGCCTGAGTCACGTAAGTTTTAGTTTGGGATTAATATATTTTGTGATCCTTTAACATAATTTCCTCTCTCTTCCTCCCTCAACCTTCCCGGATTTCTTTCTTCTAGCTGCCTAGCTAATGCCATTACACATAGTCCACTAACAACTCATTCATAATTTTGTTACGCTTCTACAGAAAGTAAGAGGTATAATCCCCTCTGACCCTTTTTCTTGTGCCTGTACACCTGTATTATGGGTGGTATATCTTACACGTGTCTTAACAAAAATAAAATGTCAAATTTAGCAAAAGAAAATCCAATGTAATTGCAAAGAAATAAAAACAGCATAGTACAAACAGAATGAGTAGTAGTTGATAGATAAACCTTATCAAATATCTCAGAGCCATTGAAAAAACTGGATCATAGGCATTTAAATGGGCTCTTAACATAGAGGACATAAACCCGGCTAAGTCAAACCTCCTCCTTTCTGACCACTGCATAAGATAAAGCAAGCATGATCATGTGCTTAATAAATTCACTCGTGACAGAGAACTACACACAGGAGTATGAGATCAAACACAAACCTCACTAGAAGTACTTTATTTTATTTTTTTTTAAAAAGGTCAATACAGTTTCAATCATTATCATGAATGAAAATTGAAGTTTCAAATCAGTTCATCTGCATAAACCTTAACAAGTGAAAAACAGACAGGAAATGAATGTTCTGTCTTCTGTAATGTTTTTCCCAAGAAAGAAATGAGCTTATGCAAGAGCAAGGACTTTACCCTCCAACAAATAGCCACTCAGTCATAAACTCATAACTGACTGCACAATGTACCTCTCCCCTAATGGTAAACATGCCAATACATGGGAAATACCCACAAACTACAGAACTCTGAAGGCCTATCTTTAGAAAACACTTGGCAGGATGCTGCCAGGTGAAGATGCTTCTCTGACAGCCATAATGTTTTCAAAAAAAAACAGCCAAGTATTTCTATTTTCTACCATTGTATCATACATTACACAAGTTTTGGACATCTAACATTATATGAAATGGATAAATAATCAAATCCAGGTAACACACTATATTTACCAGCCTACACTTCAGGTGCTACACTCCTACTAAATACTTACTAGTAGAAGCTTTCCTCAGAAAACAATTCCAATATTTATTTACTTGCAAAAGTCATTACAGATTCATACCTAGACACCATGTCCGGGGAGCTGAACATAATTCATTATTTGAAAAGAACAAAGGTTCAAAAAAAGGGTTATTACACTGACATCCCCTAAGGTTAATGCTTACTATAACCAATAGTGCTCTTTTTAGAATTATACCTTCCTGCCTTACTCTGTTATTTACGAGAAATGATGTAGGAACTGTTAGTATATGGATGTCCTAGAGACAATCTTTTAATTAGATTAGGACATATGTGGACCTTTTATATTGTCGGAAATAAATAAAAAGCACTATTTATACTGTTTCATATTTTGTCTCAATATTATAGTTAATATTTTATATGAGTAACTGGATGAACCCCTTGGAATAAAATAAGTATCTCTTGAGTATCTGTGATGAGATCACGATCATGAGGATTCAAGGATACTGGATGTTTTATGTTCCTAGTCTAAAGACACTGAGAATAGAGATCAGTGATCTCGGATAAGACTAGCACGACTTATCTACTTGTATTTGGATACAAGGTAAAGACCTCATCTGCTACAGATATGGAGATGTCTTAGCTAAAGTCGTGGGTGGACCTATAAGGGTATAGCTCGCACTGAACAGACCCACAAAGAGACTCTATGAGGAAATCTCACAGAGAGTATCATTAGAGTAGTCTCTTTATATTTGGGTATGTCTTTCCTTAGACCAGAAGTTATTACCTAGACTGTGTTCTAGAAGGCACGCTTTTGACTGTATATCACGTCTGCCTGAAACATGGAGACTCATAGGTACACTATTGGGCTTGTCCTGAAAGAGCACAGGGCTAGGGTGATAAGCTGAAGGAATTCGTCAAATCTCTGTGAGAGATTAGGTTATCTATAAACCGGAGAAATCAGGATGACATTTACAAGGACTCGGGAATCTATGCATAGTAAAAGAGATCATGAGATGATCTGCCATTAGAGTAAGTAAATTGAAGATTCCCTATTTCGAATAAAGCTTACCCTAAACCGCAAGGGTTGATACGTTTCCTTACCCTAGGTTTAATGTAAGGTAACTGAGACAAAAGGAAATACATACGGTAACCAAATATGTGTAATAGGATGATTATGTCATTAACCTAACTAGCTCTAGGGCAACAAAGCATTGCTAGTGCTCTGTGTTGTCATTAGATGGGTTGTGGGCTTGTTGGGCCCAAGCCCATTTATGTCAGTGGCTATGTTGGGCTGGGTCACACACTAACACCTTATTGTCATGATAATATAGCATTAAAGGTATTGAGCCTAAGAATGGTTGTTAGCCCAAGAAGAAGTTTGGAAGCCCACCAAAAGGGAAAAGGACGCATGGATCATGTAATGGGCTTGGATGGTCCAAGACATTACTAATTAATTTAATTAGTTAAATTAATTATTAAATATTTCAATTTTGAATTTTGAATTTGAAATTTGAATTTTGAAATTTTAATTTTGAATTTTAATTTTGAAATTCGAATTTTGAATTTGAAATTTGAAATTTGAAATTTGAATTTTGAATTTTGAATTTTGAATTTGAATTTTGCAATTTGAATTTAGAATTTAGAATTTAAATTTAGAATTTAAATTTTGAATTTAAATGTTTGAACGTTTGAATTTAAATGTTTGAATTTGAATTGGAATTGGCAATGAAAAGTTGTTTCATAACAAAAGGATAAGGTAAGATCTTGTTGGAACAAATTCCAAGTATCAAGAGGAGATCTTTGAGCATCATCCAAGGCTGATTTGGGGCGCTGATTTTGGGGTCTTGTGATGGTCATAGGATCAACCAAATGAGCTCCAATCAGATTTGGTTTGTTAAGAGAATAAGTGAGTGAGTTGGTTCAAGTTTGAATGCAACTGCTCAACGTAACTGGACTGTTTTGAGGCTGAATGGGGCGCACCATATGGCTGGCCATATGATGGTTGTTAAGTCAGATTTTTGTTGAGATATGCACTTGATATTATGAGAATATGATAGGAGGTTGTTGGCAAGATTTAGTGAGTGAGTTGGTTCAAGTTTGAATGCAACTGCTCAACGTAACTGGACTGTTTTGAGGCTGAATGGGGCGCACCATATGGCTGGCCATATGATGGTTGTTAAGTCAGATTTTTGTTGAGATATGCACTTGATATTATGAGAATATGATAGGAGGTTGTTGGCAAGATTTGATTTGCAACAACTCCACTCATTCCTCTCCTAGTGTGCGCTACATAGGGCTGATTTTTGAGTGAAGAAATCAGATTTTTATTCACTCATTCTCTCATCTCCTTTGGTCATCATTTTGTGAGGTTTTTCTTAAGAGAGTTTTGAAAATTACCTAGCACTTTCTAAGTGAATTCCATGTGCCACTTTTGTGTTTTTTCTTGCTGAAAATTCACTCAACTAAACACCTTGAAACCTTGCCTCCTACCTCTCCATTAGGGACGCCTAGCTTGCCTCCCTTGGTGTTCGTTGGTGGCCTTGAAGAAGAGTTCTTCCGTTTTGACAAAAGGTGGTGTTGATCAACATTAGAGGGCTTGTATCTTCAAGCCTCACCTTGATCGTCTTCAAGTTTTGGAAAGCAAACAAGGTAACATCCATGTCCTAAAGCATGTTTCTTGATATGGTATGTGTAATTCCGCTTTGAAAATTGTTTTTCATCCTCACATGCCTACGGCCTTCAAGGCCATTTTTCTTTCAAGTGGTATCAGAGCCCGGTCGTTTTACCATCGGCGGGTGATGGTACTTTGTTTGTAAAAACTTGTTCTTTACGGTCAAAAATTCTTTAAAGAATTAAATCATGAATCATAGCATATGGATTTTGAAATACTATGCTTTAAATTGTTGAAGTTTTTATTTTACGAAGATGATAATGTGATTGCTATGTTCATATATCTGTATGTGTTCATGGTTTTGTTTCTTTTTCTTTGTGAAAGTTTTAAAAAGAAACACCTTTTTGAAAGGGATGACTCGGCCATGAGGGTTACTTTGAGTACCTTGATTGTTTTCTTATTTTTCTCTATGAATTTTTCCATGAGAATGACATGAAAATTTTGTGAATTTTTTTTATCATATATACGGATATGTGATTCGGCCATACAAGGTGTGGTGTTTACATGTGTGGTTTAATTTTGTGTTCTTTGAGAAAGAGTCATCAAAATTTGAATTATATTAATTGTTATATAATTCGGCCATTAAGAAAATTTGAATCATGATTCTTGCAATGATATTTTAATTGTTAAAATGATAAGACATATGGATGAACATGTTATATAATATTTGATATTATGTGCTTGCAAGTTATTTGAATTTTCAGGTGCAAATTGGAAGGGGATGGTCATGGTGCCCGAGTTTGAATTTCAAATTTTATATTTTAAATTAAAGGTGTAATTTTGCTCGATTTAAATTAAAATGTAAATTTGAATTTTAAATTTTAAATATTCAGTTGTCCCTCCAAAGATGTTTTGGAGTTTCTTTAATTATTTTGTAATTAGAGAATTAGGCTAGTGGCGTTTAGACGACAAGAAGCCGTAGCTTGAGAAGCAAGAAGGACGAATGCACGAGCACCATGACCGTCTCAAATAAAATTGTTTTATATGCATGTATGCTTTTGTTTTAAAAAAACGACTAGTATGCATGAAATTTGACAAATCGCGTTTGTATGTATTATTATGCACGTCCAATTACGACTAGTGTAATCCGATAGATGTTTGACATAGGATACGACTAGCATGTATTAATTATACCTATGCGTTTGATGAGACTTAATAATTATACCTATGCGTTTGATGAGACTTAATAAACCCTAAATAAAAGGAACCCTTAAAAGGAATAAATTATTAAGCGCATGATTACCTCCCACCACCAATATTACTCAAACATCCTCTAAATAGTGGTGCTCCACAACTCAGTTGGGACCCACTGTTTCGTTGAGCAAGAGTAGTGTTAGAAGTGTGAGACACTTAGGGTGCTGGTTAATGGTTAATTGAGGCATAAGTTGCAGGCTCAGCCGGGCTTATGTGCTTAGGGTAATAATGCTAGGTTGGTTGCATGAGATACACCACTAAGTGACAAGGAGTTGTCAACCTAATGTTAAGAGAGGGTATGAGATACTGTTGATAAAGATCAACCCATTATTTAAATTAATCTTGTGGTCACAGACGGGGGTTAAAATAGATAAACGCACTCTTAATCTCACTAAGGTAAAATCTAAAAGTAGATTAACCCTAAGTCAAACGGTAAGGGTAATTGACTTAGATAAAATAGTGGGAGGGGCAAATTATTTAAAGTCTTTAATAATTTGTTTTTACTACATGTCGAAATATATTAATT